ACCATATGTAAGCTATATATTAGTGATGCTCGGGTATCCCGACTCCCGACTCGGGAAAATTTCCCGAGTTTTTGGCCTCCCGATCCCGACTCCCGGTGTCAATTCCCGACTAAGTCGGGAAATTTTTACACCACTAAGAATGGATTTTTTTGACAAAATTATATTTTCATTTAGAAAAAATGAAGAAATCTGGCCTCTTGGTCTTCCAAAATTCCCAAAATTTTCGCCTGCGGCGCTGAAAATTGAAGAATCTGTGGAGTTGTAGTATAGAAGACCAAAATTCCACCAAAATTGAACGTAAAAATATTTTTCTCTGTTTCACTTTTCCTCTATTTCACTCCAATGGAGAAATTCTAAGGACTTAAGGTCAATGACAACAAATATAAATCAAAGCTGGGCTCTGGCTAAAAGAAAAAGCCCCCAGCAATACCCAACACTGATTATCTCTGCGGTTAAAAGGTTTTTTGGACAGGCTGTTGGCTTATCTTTCCAAATAATCGGGGAAATAAACTCTTAAGTTACCCTTAAAGATCGTTCAAGACAAGACCTCTTTCTATTTCACCCCAATGAGAGTCAAAATTTTTGGATGCGGCGCAAATCATCTTCGGCTGATCACTCGAGGTTAGCCATCATCCGGCTGATCACCGTTCGGTTGATCACTCCTGATCACTATCCTGGTTTAATACTATATCCTCCTCACGGTTGATCACCCTCTCGGCTGATGATTCTATCTAATGACTTGATCACTGCTCAGATGACTCAATCGCTCGATTGATCACTCGATCGATGATTTGATCACTTTATCAGATGATCAATCGCTTGATTGATTGAGTCATCTCAACGTAGGACTGAGACCGATCGAATACTATGTGATTCAGCTTAAATTTTGCTTACGGCATGCTTTTTAAAGAATTTTTCAAAATTTAGAAAAATCCCGCAATCCCGCGCGGGATCCCGCAAATTTAAATTGCGGGATTTTGCGGGATTTTGCGGGATTTATCCCGCGGGATCCCGTCCCGCAAAGATTTTGAAAAAAAATCCCGCATGCGGGATCCCACAAACACGATTTTGCCGGTCTCTACTACAAAGATTTTCGCAATGAATTGAAGTCTCTGAATCGGAGAGAACAAAGTGTCCTCAGTAGAAATTTAAATTTTGCGATTGCAGGATAGGACCATTGAGTACAACCTTTTGAGTCCTTGATCCATTTTTAGCCCTAAATTTTTCGATTTTAACCCAATTGAATAAGATTCGGATGTGTTCGAAAGATTTGGATGTGTTGTTTCTTTTTCTTAGCAAGACCGTTTTGATAAGATTTTTTAAGGCTATAATCAGATAAACAGAAAATCACGATTGTCCTGACTAAACAGATTATAACATTTTGAGGAATGCTTTTGTCATTTCGATATTAGGAAAAAATCTTCATTTCCATGGCTTTCGAATGATAAAAGTTCTATTCGAAATGTATAAACTCAAAGTTATTGATTTAGTAAATACGACCAAAAATAGGCGAGACTCAAACATACCCATTTTAATTGTAGTATTGATGAGTCTTATTAATTCAATCGCGAATCTTTTATGATTTTTAAAAAAATTATTGTCTAAAATTGTTTAAGACTTTTTTAAATTTATTATATTTTAGTTAAGCATGGAATCTTGTCCACTTTGTTCGAAACAAATTAATTCTGAAGGCAATATTTCAGCTGCTTGTGGTCACAAAGTTCATTTAGCATGTTTAGTGCCTTATTTCTTGACTAAGAGTTTATGCCCCAGCGATGGGTGTGGTTTGGAAATTGTACGGGAAATTACAACTGTATCGGAAAGTGGGTTTATTTGTTTTGAATTTAGACATTCAAGTTTTAAAAATTTTCAAAATTTTTTTGAAAATTTTAGGCTTAGTTTAATCGTTATTGAGTTAATTTAGAACCTATTCGAGTTGTATATCATTCAAAAGCGCTTGTTGAGCTCTTTCGAATGACATATAATTTATCTATTTTTGGAAGTGAAATAAGTACAAACCAAATTTAAAAAGTTTCCAAATTCAAAACAATTTTTTATTCTAGCAAAACTAAAACTATGTGTTAAACGAAGTCATTCTGCTTCAACTTGTTCTTATGAATTGGCTGCTAAAAGGAAATCTGAGGTTTTTTGATAGTTTTTGATTTTTTTCTGTAGTTAAAGTTTTTAAGTTTACTTATTTGGGCTGTGTCCAAACATCACATCAGTCTCAAATATGAGAGTATAATCCTTAACCAATCCTTAACCATCTCAAGTAATCCTTAACCAGCTTCTGTCATAGATTTTCTTGAAACATTCGCTTAAATAATAAGGGACACCAGTGCCTTACTAATCCTTTTGTGGCTCGGGCTTCAAAATTTCCCGTATTCAATCCTGGGTCCGGACTTTGGCTTTGCCCTGGCTCTCCCAAATTTTCCAAAAATTTTTTCCTTTTAATTTTCTGGTTAAATCGTCAGTTTATTTTAACTTCAGGGTCCTTCTTCACAAAATGTTCAGTCAACTACAGGAGAAGAGAAGGAAAATGTTGAGGGACTTACAATAAAAAATTGTTCTGTTCAGGCAAAGCAACTCACTAAGTCTTTGCTTTCGAACATTCCACGGGAATTTCCAGGTTCACTATCTTTTAGTTTAAATAATTAAATAAATTTTAAGCTGGTAAAAAGTTTAAAAAGCTAGAGAGAGACTTTGAAATTAATTTGGATAATGTTGAAGGCAACCAAATCATTCCAATTACCATTCCAAAGACATTTTCAGGTTTAGCATGTTTTATTTAAATAATTAATTACTTTTACGTTGTTAAAGACCCGCTATTCAAGTGCGAGTTTGCTGTTGGTAGTTTCAAGGGGAATGTTCATGTAAGTTTAATTTCTGCTAACATTCGAAGTTTAACTCATGATTTGGCATAATTCAGTGGATTTTGGGGGAGTAGTAGATACATCGGGTATTTTCTTAAGTTAAAGTTGGGATTATGGGATTGAAAAAATAACGAGGAATTTTGAAATTAATACTCCGATATCCATACAAATCCCTTTTTCGTCTTTTCCAACGCCGCAGGCGAAAATTTTGAGCATTTTGGAATATCTATAAGGCCAGGATTCTTCCTTTTACAGCGCCGCAGGCGAAAATTTGAGAATTTTGGAAGGCCATTGGACAAGATTCTTCCTTTTCCTTAATTCTTGGATCTGAACCAAAAATTACGGATATTCGGAACCGGAACCGATAACCGAACCGAAGATTACGGATAATCCCGAGATATCTCCGAGTTTCACGATAACTCCCCAAATATCCTGATCTTACCTTTATCCCTCAAATCCATACAGGTCTTCATAGTTTACCCTTGCTAACAATTTTAAATTTTATTTTATAAAATTTCTCATTTATAGGTCAAATTGGTTGGAGATGCTCTTATAGTTCATTGGCTGAATGAAGTAAAAGTAGTTGATAAAACAGAATTACTCTTTGATCAACACGTCAAACATCGCATAAAAATTCTTCCACCAACAACCAATTTAAATTCTATAAAAGCTACATTTACGGGAGGTCCGACTCCAATTCTTACAATAAAAGCTTGGGGCTTTTAAAGGAAGTTATGTCTTTTAAGAAGTTTGGACAATAAAATATAAACAAAATTTCTTTGCTTTACTTAAAAATAATTTTTAATTCAAAAAATACATACACTAACAAGTATATTTTTGGAATATTTGTTTTTGAAAAAAATTTTTCTTAAAAACATTTTCTAGATTTTAGAATAATTTTAAATTTTTCTTAAAATTTTTTTCAAAAACAAACTTGAATATTTGTAGCATCATGATATTTGTCTTTTGGCTTTACCTATACGATTTTAATTCAAATTTAAGAAAACCTCTTTGTAACGTATTTTTAACATTCGGAACCTTTTGGTCTAAAAATTGAAAAATAATTTATTAGGTGGTTGTGTCTAAAAACTTCCGGAATCTTATAATATTATAGACACTTTCCGGGAATATTCTTAAAAACATTCTTTTCAACATTAAACATTTACCGAGGTGCCTGACAAATAAAAGACGCATTTTAAGTTGATGTAATCAATATTTGAATTGCTAAATAAAGGGTTCCGACTGTATTTTATAATCTAATTTTTTACATCTTACAAAAATATTTTTGACATATAAATCGAATAAATGAATTATTTTTTAAATTTTTAAAAATTTTATTTTTTGGATTAACAGACATGAGAAATGTCGTTAATTATACTTCCTTGTGGTCGTGAAATGATCGAATTTTTTTTTCTGTCCAAGTCAATTTCTATAGCTATTCCATACCGCCATCAAAAAGTAATTCCACTGTTGTTGAGGGAAATACATATCCTGAACAGCTGGAAAATGTTTTATGTTTGGGAGGTATGAGGGCAAACAACTTTTTCATAAAAACATGTTAGACTTTCATAAAAAAATGTTCACTGACATAGAAACATCTAGTTTTTCCGGAAACATTTTAAAAATAATCTTTTCCCAGAACATTTTAAAAATTAAATGTTTTCCAGAAAAACATTTAATGTTTTACCTTTCCGGAGACATTTAAGATTTACCTAAATGTTTTTCCGGAACATCTTAAAAATTAAATGTTTTCAGGAAACATGTATGTAATAATTAATGTTTTTACGGAAACATTCTAAAATTAAATGTTTTTCCGGCAAAATAATACCATTAACAGAAAAATTTTTAACCGATAAATTATAGCAGTAGCACTCTCACAAAAAAGGAAAAAATACGAATTACGATTACGAAAATAAATTTCGATTAACGAACCCCTCATATTTACTGTATTTTCCTTACTCGTTGATTTAGTGATCGTTTTATTCAGGGATTTCAAAATAAATATTTAATAACACCCTTAAAATTGTGCAATAAAAAATTTAATTTAATATGTAGATAAATGTTAATGTTAATTTTTTATTAAAATTAAAAGGCATAAGAATTATATTTAGTAATAATTTATATTTATTATTTCCTTCTTGTCATCATTTCAGTAAATTCTAAAATTAAAAAAAAATGATAAAAATATTTTTTTTAATTTTTACCAATAAAATTAATTTTTCCATCTTTATTAGTATCAACTTGTAAATAAATTGCTTTTATCTCTTTATCATCTAAATCATGCCCCATTTTTTGAAAGGCAGTTCTTAACTCTGATCTGAAAAGTAGCATTAAACGCCTAGTAGCATTAAATAAAATGCCTAGTATGTAGAGCCGAAAGTTCGGAAGCGGAGTTAGGGTTGGCGGATCTGTATATCCAGATCCGCCAGAACACTCCAAAAAGCACGGATTTTAACTTTTTTAGGGGAGCGGGTCGGGTTGGAGACAATCATCCTGAAAAAATCTTTCGGGGTTTTTAAGGATAATAAAAGCGGATTAGCTCGAGCAATTGTTAAAAATTATAAAATAATATTTTTTTGATAATAACTTTAAAAATTAATAAAAGCCTTCGACCCAAGTGCTAACGTAAAAGTTGCAATATATTAAATATAATTATTATTTATTACCTTGTAATATATCCATCACCATCTACATCTAATTCATCAAACTAATATAACAAATTTTATTTCAAAAATTAAAATTTTAGACTTTAATAATTAATTTTATAATTAGTGTTCGGGTTTTTAGGCGTTTTCTTAAACTTACTATATTCTGAGAAATTCTTATTTTTCTTATCTTTACAATCTTGTTCTAAAATCGTATTTTCCATATATTAAAAAATATTAAACGAAAATGGTTTTTAATTTAAAAGAAATTTTATTATTATTTTTAGCCCTTCTCTTCCAATTTATTTCTTACTACAAATTTTGGCCATATTTACATATAATAAATTTATTTAAAGCAAAAATAATTTAAATAACTTACCACGGTTTTTAAGGATAATGAAAGTGGATTAGCTCGAGCAATTGTTAAAAATTCTAAAATAAATATTTTTTGATAATAATTTTAAAATTAATAAATTATCTGATTACTGTAGATCCTCTAAATTTACTCCTCTTTCACTTAAACTATCCTAGTTTTCCTTTAATAGAGTAGAAGTGAGAGAATTACAAATACTATGTAATTATTTTAATGCCCACATATTTTTTAAATTTACCATCAAAATCTATATTTCCATCTTTATCAGCATCGGCAGCATCAAACATTGCATTTAATTCTTCTTCTGTTGGTGATTGACCCATTTTAATCATAACTGAACGTAATTCATCTTTTTGTATATATCCATCCCCATTAAGATCAAATTCTCTAAACATTGCCTGTAAATCATCTTCTCGAATTTCCCCTACATTCTGAAGAGGAAAAACAAAAAAAAGAATAATTATTAAACTTTTAAAACAAAAAAAGAGAACTTTATTTTTTGAATGTTTTCCCGGAGTTCCGGCAGTTTTAAAATTTCCTTTTCTTTTTGACATACACATTCCCATATTTAAATATATAATTTAAATTTATTTTTAGTTAATTATGTAATTCTAAAATACATAAAAAAGATTTTACAGATTAATTAATATTTTTTAAATAAAGATAAGTTTTTTACAAGAAGCCCATAGCCACAAAAATTTTTGTGAATAAACAAACAATTATGAGAGCCTGTCATGATTTGTTAAAAATTAACAAAAAATATGTGATAAAATTATGTTGGGAAAAGATTTAATGTAAAATTCAATGAAATGATAAAAATATATTTAGATAATTCTGGGAGGTCTTAAAATAATTATTTAATGCAATTGACAGAAATAATTCGCGCAACTAATTTTACAAAAAAAATAATTTTGGTTGTAAGAAATTAAAAAAGTAGTTAATTGATTAAATAAATAAATATGTTTTAAGTAAAGAATTACATACAAATTAGTTTTTTTTAATTTTAAATCAATCAAATTAAATATAAAAATAAACATAAAATGTTTTTAATTTAGACTATTTGTTTTACTATTTTGGGTTTTTATTTCTGCAAAATATTTGAAGCAAAAAATAAACTTTTAAATTTTTTAAAAAAGATTTTAGAATTTTTTAAAATAAAATTTTTAAATCGATTTTAAATAAAAAAGGTAATGATTGCGACAAAAAAAACGAAAATAATATAAAAGTGACGGGCAAACGGGACAAAGAAGGTGATGGAAAATATTTGTGTTGATTATACAATTTGTTTAAACAGGCTGTAAATATAAAAAAAGTTGGAAATAATAAAGCTTGTGAGGGAATTGTGAAAGAGAAATTTAAATAATAAATTAATTGATTTTTATAAAAATTATTATTTTAAATATTTAAATTAAAATTAAATTATTATTTTTTGAAAAATGAATTTTTTCTGAATTTTTAAATTTATTAAGTACATATTATTATGTTTATTTAAAATTATATTATTTTTAATAGATTCTGAAAAATATGTAAATGAATCCCGAAAAAATTCTCTTATTTTTAACAATTTTTATTCTCTCAATAAAAAACAAATAATATATTCAACGAAATAACTGAAAAAGTATTTAAAATTTAATAAGAAATAAAACTTTTTCTTAATAAAATAAAAATAAAAATTAAAATAATTTTAAATCCATAATTTTTAAATAAAAATTAAATAAAAACATTTATTTGATTAAAATAAAAATTTTAAAGATATTTAAACCTTGCTAAAAATTGTTTAAAAAAATTTACAATTGTAACGTCATCCATTCCCCCACAAAAATTTTTTAACAAATAAAATCATTTTGTTGAATCATTAAAAAAATTTTTTTTATTTAAATAATTAAATAAATATTTTCTTAAAAAATAATTAAACCAACAAAATTTATATTTAAAAATGATTTGTTGTTGCACTCAAAGCTTCTTTAATCCAATTGTTTTAAATGAAATTTAATACAAAAGTTCTTCGATAGACAAAATAATTAATAGTAAGTGTTCAATAAATAAATACAAATAATTTCATGTCGAGAATTAATTTTTAAGAATTAAAAAAGAAAAAAAGATTTTTTAAATTTATTATCGCGGTTCGCGACACATGGCGAACCTGACATGACCGGAGAACATCTACATATTAAAAAAATAATTTTTAATAATTTTTTTATTAAAAATCAAAGTAATTATTTTATACAAAAAAAAAAGAATTTTTCGTTCAATTAAAAATTTATTTATTTAATAATTTTTTAAGAAAATCTAATTTTTGTTGATTCCTTTCAATACCCCTTTTCTGTCTTTGTCCAGATTGTACTCGCAATCTTTCAATCATTTCCATTGTAAAACGTTTAGAACACCTTTAATTTAATTTCTTTTAAATATTTAAATTAATTATTTACTTTTTATTTTTAATTAATTCATTTGTGCATCTTTTATTAAATTTTAAACGATTTTCTAAGCTTCGTCTACGCCTTCTTCCATAAATAGCTCCACCATAACATCCAAATGAATTATATGAACAACAACAGGGAATGGCTAACATTGTTGTACAACAACCTTTTTTAAATAAAATTTTTTAAAAATTAATTTCAAAACTTACCACAACAACAGTCACAACAACAATCACAGCAACACCCACAATCCCCTCCATAAAAAGCATTACAAACTATAATCAAACAAATAAATATAAAAATAATTTTAATTAATATTTTTGAATTTACTATATTCATTTATTAGAATATATTTAAATAATTTTAATTAATTATTAATAAATTTTTATTAAGATGAATTGTGTAATAGAACACATTAATTTGCCTAAATATATATTTATTTGGATGGTCATTAAATAAATATCATTTAAAAACTAGAATATGATTGAGAAAACAAAAGTTATTGGCCAACCTGAAAGAATATCTAGTACGAGCCAGTCCTTCCTTTTATTTAAAAGAAAAAACGTTGAAAAGAAAATAAACTAAGTAAATAATTATTTAGAGAACAATTAAATTAATTAACAAAAAAGAAAAATCTAGATTAATCAAACAAAGATTCTCTTTTTCTTTAATGTTGCAAGTAAATAAAACAAAAAAATAAAAAAGGTGTTTTCTATTCAAAATCTAATTAACACTGAATATTTTAAATATTTACCAAAGATATTTTAATTAACCTCAAATTTATTTATTTTAATGGAATTTGTATTAAATGCAAATTATTAAAAATAGTAATGGCTTTTTATAAAGAAATGTTTTTTAAACAAATATTTAAACATAAATTTACATTTTTTTCATTTCTTTATAAAAAAAATTCCAATCTTATTATAACTCATTTTCAATTTTCCCTTTCAATTAATTTATTTAATTTGGCGTGTCAATCCATACGGTGTCATTCCCTTCTGTGAGGCACATTTATTTGTTCCATATTGAAGCGGAATAACTGCCTCACTTTGACGTATTACATCCGGAGCAAATTTTCGTGGCTGATTTTGTGCCATTTTAACCACCCACGGTGGAAATTGAATATTTGAAAGTGAATGTAAAGCACCTGACTGACTTTTGCTTTGTGCCTGAAATTTGTAGAATTATTTAGTAAAGGGTTATTGAAAACATACAACTGCAGCTAATGACCGAAGACATTCAATTACTTTATAGCATTGTTTATTTTCATACCTAAATATAAATTTAAAAGAATTATTTTTTAAATAAAATTTTTCTCACAAATCAACTGTCTGAAAACAGGATATCTCAGCAACTCCAAAAGCTTTACAAGCATCCAAAAAATTTGAAATATTTTCCATCTGAAATAATTTTTTGAATTAATTTTTAAAAATAAATTTTTAATTATCTTGGTTAAAGTGTATTTTGTTTGTTAATTAATATTTAATTAATTATAAAGCTTAATTACCTTATGAAAAGGCATCCGTGGATTTTTATGGAATTTTATAACTGAACAACCAGGCGAATCCACAAGACGATTCATAAGTCTTTAAATTATTTAAAAATTATTTTTGAAAATTATTTTACAAGCAAAGAATTAGTCCATCCTTTAGAACTTCAGAAACTTGTAAAGAAGTAGTTATTTGCTCTATTGGGGGATTAAGAGGTATTCCAATCATATCCTCTATCCATTGAAGAACTTCTAAAGCTTCTTCCAAATTGAAACGTGCTTGATTCTTTAAAATAAAAATAAATATTTAAATAAAACTCGTAAAATGAGTAATAATTATCGAGTAATCAAATAGAACCTTTCGTTCCAATTCTCTGCTCAAACCATAGCAAGGACCATGATTAGCCATTAGTTAAAGTTTTTTCGGATTTAAATGAATATCTAATATTTCTATTGAAGAAAATGCTTAAAAATTATTAATTAATTATTTTTAATAGAAAGAAATTTTAACAAAAGCAAGTTTGGAGAAATGACAAACAAAAACTTCAAATAAAATGTTATTATTGTGTTTAACTAACATTTAGATAGATACAAATTAGCCAATTCAAAATAAAAAAATGCTTTTTGAATCATCAGACATAAAAAGCGACAAAAAAATGAAATAAAAAAAAAGGAAAATTTATTTTTATTTTTTCACTTAGATCGATTGTTGATGACACATTAAATTTAAATTTTTATTTAAAAATTGAATTCTCAGAGTTTAGTAAAATTTTAAGTAAAAATAAATACAAAAATATTCTTTTATAAGCGAAAAAATAATTTTTATGTTTAATAAACAATCTTCCTTCTAATTGAAAAAAAATTTTTAAAGATTTGAAGAAAAATTTATAATTAAATCTAAAATTCGAAAAACGAAAATTGGAAAGAAAAATTAATATTTTTTTAAATTTATTTTTCTACTTTATTATTTATTAAACTTATTTTTATTTGGATCATTTTCTTTTCCTATTTTAGTATGATAGAATTAAACCTGTTTGTTGATTATTTTTATAGTTATTTTACTATAATTATTTATTTTCGTGGAAAAGTTTTGATGGAATTTAATAAAGTTAATTAAAAGTTTTATTTTATACATATTTAATTAATAAAAATTAAATTTAACTCTAAATACTTTCGGGTATACCTAAATTTATTATACAAACGCTTGTTGATATAATAATTAAATTCTCAGATAATAAAATTTTGAATAAAATGTATATGAATTAATATGTAAAAATTAATTATTTTGGAACGTAAAAAATTTATTATACGTAAAAATGGCTCTTTATTTAATTATTTTTTTTATCAAATTTTAGGTTTTTCGTTTAGGTTTCAGTTCGGTTAAACCGGAAAACAAAATCAGTTCAGTTACTCTAGTTAGAACTTATTTTGGTTCAGTTCGCCTACTGCATAGCCTTAGGAATTAAATAGCTATATGCTTTACATTTGTAAAAAAATGATCAGTCATTTCTTCCTTGCATAATTTAAAAAATTTCCCTGTAGTCACATTTATTCAGAAACAAGCAACTAAAAACAAAAAAGATTCCTGAATTGAAGGAAGATATGTAACTTAATGATGTGACTACAGGGGAATTTCATAAAATTAATCAAGGAAAAAATGTCTGACCATTTCGTACAAAAAGTAAAAAGCGGACTGGGGGAAGCTCTGGTAAAAATTCGCTTAATTTTAGAATTTTCTAAAAAATACAGCAAAAATGATGACGATTTAGGAAATTTAGGTTTTATTTTTCATTGTCTGTACACGATTGAAGTGCTACGTAAATCCTATACATAAATAAATTCAAAGAGGGCTTGTTAAAATATTTTCTGCCTCCCACATTTTTAAGTAATAAGGCGCCATTAATTATGCAGACGAAACCATTGTATGTATGCGAATGAATGATCAAAATAAAGATGGGGAGATCATCCAGTTTTGGGAAAATATACAAAAGAAATAATTTAATTTCTCTTTATATTTACTGACCATATAGAGAGATATAAGGAATTAAAGAAGGAATGAGTAAATAGACAAAATTAAGGTTAATCCAAAAATAGTGTAAATAAAATTTTTTTAATTCCCCTTCACTAAATATTAAAAAGTTCTTTAAATGTCTACGATTTTTCTTATCTTACAATTAGTATATTTATCAAATACTTGAGAATCATTTTTAATTGAAAAATGTATCAAAATTTAAATGAAAATATAAAAAATATCATCCAGTCATGGAAAATTATTTAATATCTTTGTACTTTGTTTTTATAATTCATCGGCGGTGTCGTTATCCGTTCCATACCACCCATAGTACGTATTCTATAATTATTTACACGTTTTTTATCATTTTAAATTAAAATTACCCAGAAGGTGAAGCTCGAAATGCTGATTGCACTGGAACTATTTTATTCCTTACCCCAACAGTTTCAGCTCCAATAACGCCACTAGAATGCTCCATTCCAATACGAAGTGCATGAGAATAAGTTATACAAAAAATAAATACTTCTATTGAACTCATAAACTCTGATAATGGACCGGTTCCCATTGAAGAGCCTGCGCCGAATATCTTCAAAAAAAATTAAAAGATTATTAGTGCTGCTTGATTTTTGATCATTGTGCTAAAATGAAGAAATTATAGTCTGATAATAATAGCATTTATTAAAAGTTTTATTCCCTTTTAAAAATTTCAAAAAATACTTTTAATATTTTTTCATCTCAATAATTTTTGATAAATAAAAGATTTACCATTTCCCATAAAAATGGGCCAAAATGAGGTAAAAATGAAAGGAAAAATTCACTGAGAATTGCTGAAGATGTAAGAAGATTATTCTTTAATTTTAAATACATAATTAAAAAATTAAAAAACAATTAATTACCGCTTTATTCGTTCGTAAAAAGTGTTTATAACCGGCAGAATTTTTTACTTGACTAGCTTGTTTAAGTAAAAGTTGGTTTGTACGACAAAGTAGGAAAAAGAAAATAATTCCAGAACCTATGTTAAAAATAGCACAAAATGCTCTCCAACCCAAATAAAATTGAACTGCTGAATCCAAAATACAACCAAAAATTTCACATTCTAAATATTTAAATAAAAATTACAAATATTTCTTATGAATTTTTCTCATCAGTCAAGGATTGGTCCTCCTTTTATGAAAAAGAACCAATTCCCAAAATGAAGTAAAGATAGGAAGGTATGTCCATATAATTTTCGGACTTATACCGAAAACTGTTTTAGGAGTTCTACCTGTGTATTCGGGTAGAGGAAGCGCCGTGAGAAACCCTGCCGTGTTAACACAAACACAAATAATAAGAGAGGAGAAATATCCAATTTTAAACGTTTGTTTTACATTAAATCCATAATTGGCTCCAAATTTAATAATACATATTCGATCAACGGTCAAGAAAAATAATGTTACTGGAAGCATTGCCATGAACAAATGACAGGGTAATGCAATAAGAAAAAGTGGAAGACTTGCATGTTTAACACCTAAATATTTTTTATTTAAAGTTAAAAATTTTTATTTGGGAAGGCTTGGGTCCTGGGACATTCAGCATGGATTCAATTCGTAGTAATCCTCCTTTCTGAAGGGTTATTTTTTCAATTTATTACCTGGCTGTGGCCTCCAAACAATAGCACTATATACTTCATAAGGTATTAAAAGACTAGAAGTAATTAACCAATTTATGAGTAGGGCCATAAAATAAAGAGAAAAAGCCTTTTGATTTTGAAATTTTGTATATAAAAGCATCACAATTCGATAAACACAAGTTGAATGGAAAACTATAGCTAAGACAAATTCTGTCAAAACCAAATAAGAACCGGACATTTTTTGTTAGTTTGAGGTAGGTAAAAAGGAGAGAAAATATAAGAGATTAACTGAAAAAAATTTAAAAAATATGTATAAAATAATGTTAAGAAATTAAGAAATAAAATAATAAAAAAAAGGTTGACGAAAATGGAAAAACAAATTAAAAATAATAATAGTTTTTAATATTTAAATAGCCCTTGAAAATTAAATATTAAATTAAACATAAATAACGAACAATAAAAATGTTGATATATTAAAAAAAGCTTTAATAAATTGTAAATTAAATTGGTTAACTACATATATACGTAAACTAATTTTAAAAGAAATAAATTTTTATTTTAAATAATTTAATTTAAGATATTAAAAAAATTAATTTTTTTTATTTCATTTTACCAAAATTAAAATTCTGGAATTCTGTCATAAATTTTATTTAAAAATCCAAAAAATTGTAGTCAAAACTATAAAACTTAAAATAAAACTACAAAAATAAATTTCTAATAAAAAATTTTAGACAAAGATTTTTTAATAATATTTTAGTTCCTTGCCAATTGCGTGTACATATATATGTATGTATTGCAGGGAGTTTATTTGGTGGGTGGTTTGCAGGGCCCGATCGGAAATGGCTCAAAAGTTAGAACTGTAAATTGGAAATGATCGCAAATGCTACAAACCCCCTGATATCTCCGATATACTTTAAATACCCTATAGATCATTTTTGACTTTATTGAATTAAACGCAAATTAAAACAACGAAAATTTTGAAAATTCTGAAAGGCCAAGGACCAGATTTCTTCCTTTTTTAGCACCGCAAACCATAATTTTCAGTCGGAACATTGCTTCGCAAAACTTCGTAAAATTCTTCTTTCCTTCACAGATCTAATAGAGTTTATTTAATAAAAATGTTTCCGAGAATATGATATTTGCACCCGCAAGTTTAATTTATTATATAATTTTAATTTTATTTCGATAAGGCAATTCTAAAAAATTTTTATTTAATTTAACAATTCCAAGTAAATATAATAATTCTAAAATTTTATTAACATTTTACTTTACAAAGAAGAAATAAAATTTATAAAAAAACCTTAAAATTTAATTTAAATTTCGAGTTCAAAATTTAAAATAAAAATAATTCAAGCAATAAAACTCGTATAAAATAAAATAAAAAAAGAAAATATCTTTAAAAAATAATTATTGGAAAGTAAATTAATTTAATTTAGAAAATTAGATTTTGAAAGAAAAAATATTTATTTTGAGATTGCGGGGGTTATAATTTTATTTTGATAATTATTTTTAGTTGTTTAGATAATAAAATTTATATACCTATAAGGATATCCTTCAAAAATAAATATATTTAATTTATAAGGAATTAAAAATTAATTAATTTTTTGTAAAAATTAAGATTTGGATTTTAATAAAATTTTTAATTGATAATTTTTAAGCTAAGTTTTTTGGCTTAATTAAATATTTTTGAGATTAAAGTATAAAAAAATTCATTCTTTAATAGAAAATACTTAAAATTATTTTTTCTCATTATTTTTTATTTCTCAATTGTACATAAGAGCGTCATAATATTATTTAACATAAATATTTTCTTCGTTTCTAGAAAAAAAAAATAAAAATTCTATAAATATATATTATGATTATTTTTTATAAATATTCCTTTTAAATTAAAAAAAATTTTTTGAAATTTTTTCTATTAAAAGTTTTGTTTTCTGTACATACATATTTAAAAATATTTATTATATTTATGTAGTTATTTTTTTAAAAATTTAATAAAAATAAATTAAAAATGAAATTAAATATTTATTTAATAATTTTTATTTTTCTAATTGTTTTGATAAATAAAAGAGAATCTGCTAAAATTAAACAAAAAAATTCCCAATTAAAAAATAATTTAACTTTGGCCGAATTAAGCAATAAATTTCTCGTTGATAAAATATTAGAAGAAAAATTAAGAAACACAAACCAAAATTTTGGTAATTTAAGTAGAAGTTTATTGGATAACAAGGTTTGTTTTGAACAAATAATGTAATTTTACCTTCAAATATTTAATAACTAAATAGATACCTATATTTAAATTTCAATGCCCCGAAATAAAAAATTATTTGTAGTATATTTTATGAATAGTTAAATTAACTTTAAATTTACTCTGTAAGTGAAAGTCAGCATTTTTTTTTGGTTGTCACAAAAAAGGCATTTAGAAAATTCAGACTCTTGAGAATTTAATAATTATTGTAGTTTTATTAATAATTTTATAAATTTTAACCGTCGGGTATCATCGGCAACTAAAATTACTAAATATTTCTACTAAACTTTTGACATATAAACTGTCTCGAGTCTTGATCTTCGAATGTAGTCTTAGCCTTAAGTCTTTTAAAATTTTCCTTCTTGGAAATCTAAATACTACATATATTTTATAGACTATTTAGGAAAGACATTTTTAAATAAAAATGAATTATTTAAAATAAAAATATTTGCATATTTATTAAATTAAATATTTAATTCCACATATATTTACCTAATTCTGATATATTTCCGCCTAATCTGCTTAAAATTGTATTTTATTTTTTTAATATTAGGCAACAAGAATATTTTCTATTATTAAATAAAAATTTTTTTGTCCAATTCACAGTCACCAACTAAAAATAATTTTTTTCATATTTCTTCAAAAATTTCAGAAAATAATTTTCTTAGGTAGTGGAAACATATAAAGACAATTTTATCCGACTTAAAATATTCCCGTTAGCAGCGGCTGCCTATGGTTCTGACAAGAATATTAATGATTGCCTTTTACAAATATATCCAGATTTTCAAGTAATTATTTATTATTTAAGAAAGAATACCTAATTTTTAGTTTGTCAAGAATTGGGTAGTTACATGCCAAAAGAAAGATCATTTCTGTTCAGCTTTTATTGCTGTTTCTTTTACTGATAAAGCAATTGTTGTTTCATTTAGGTTGAAACATTTTTCTAAAATTATTTTAAATATAAAAAATAATATTTTAAGAGGTACAGACTCGTTCTGGCAATTAACACACGAAGTTTGGCAGACAATATTTAGAAAGAAGGTTCCATCAGTATTTGGATATGGACATGTTAGTAATTAAAGCCAGAACCTCAAATTTAGATTCCATTTTTTAATTAAATGATGATAAAAATAAAGGAAAATATATTATGTCCTCGAATTAGAGCTTATTCGCTTTATTCGGTTTTGGCTTTTGTGTTTAATTTAAATTTATATTTTCTAATAATTTTTAATTTTCTAAGGTAGCCTTCTATTTTGATGATATTTTTAATCAATTGGATAAGAAAGGCGTGACAGAAGAGATCCATTATCTACTTAGACAACATAAGCATTATGAAGTTTGGGTATTTTTGTCTTTATTTTGAAAAATAAATATTAAAAAAAAGATAACTGGGCATTCTTTGGGTGGAGCATTGGCAGCAATAGCTGCAGCAAAATTAATTCAAAGTAAGGAAATCGGCCCTGATAAAATAAAGCTTGTAACCTTTGGTCAACCGCGTACTGGTGATAGTGGATTTGCTGCTGGTATGAGTAAAAATGTAAAATTTAAAATTTTTTTTCAAAAAATATTTAATTAAAGTTGCCTTTCTTCAATTATCGAGTAACTAGAGCTCGTGATTTAGTTGTACATATACCTCCACGAACTTATGAGGATTATGCACATTATAAAACTGAAGTTATAATATAATAATTAATTATACTATTTATTAAACTTTTCAGATTTTTTATGATAATGAGATGAAACCGGGTGCTAAATGGAAACGATGTGTTGGAGGAGATGAAGATAAAGATTGTGCAAATAGATATGGGCGAGTTCTTTTTCCTAAGCTTTACTATTATAATTTATTTCTAGTATCTATACAATATCTGATCACACAAAATATTTTGATAAGGATGTATCAGCATATGGTTTGAGTGGTTGCTATGGTGGTTGAATCTATTAAAAAGAAAAAAAACTAATATTGAATATTCTTAATATTTTAAATTAAATAGCTGAAAAAATAAGCTAGTTGAAATGAAATACCGTATTTACTCGATTAATTCCCCCGAGGAATTATTTTTTCAACCCATCCGTGGCATGGGGAATTAATAGAGGGTGGGGAATTATTCGAGTTTTGAAATTTGAACGTGTTTTAGGGTATTTGGGGGTGGGGAATTATTCGAGGGTGGGGAATTAATCGAGTAAATACGGTAATTTAAAATTATAAAAATGTCCTAGCCTTATTATACTATTGTATTTAGTAAAAATAGTAGTCATGACTATTTATTGGATTATAATTAGGGTTTGACCCCGACCCCGTACCCCGAACCCCGACCCCGTTCCCGAACGATTTTTTCACGATTCTCCCCGACCCGAACCCCGCCCCGAAAAAAAGTGAAAACCCCGTTCCCCGACCCGAAAAGTTTCGGGGTTATCGGGGTTTTATATACCCAAAAAATGCCATTTTTGGGAGAATTTTAAGAGAAAAATTTTAAAAATTTCCTCCAAATTTACATTGCTTTATTATTTTTGAACGAAAAATGAAAAAAAAATCAAAATTCTTTTTCATTATCTGTTAGGAGACTTGTGGTTGAGTGGTTTAGTTGTAGGTTTTAGCCTATATTTCCATCAATCTAGGATTGGGTTCGGATCTATATAGGCAGAACTCGTTTGTTTTAGGATTTTTCTTTACAAAAACAAGAGTTTTTTTTAATTTTAAAATGTTAATCTTATTTTTAAATATTATCAACCATAAAAAACAATGCAAGATTTTTTATCCAGTGTTAAAATTTTAAAAATTTTCGTGCAGCGCTAACCCTAAAAAATTCTATAATTTTCGTGAGCGGATCTGAAAATGTAAAACTCAGCTATAATGAATTGAAAGATTAAGGAGGTTATCGACAGATGTGATATAAGGAGTTAATCCTTCGCCAGATATGTCAGTTAATCTCTTTAAATCTTTTTAATCCGTCAAAATTTATTTACCTCCCCAGATATTAGTGTTTCACCGGAACCAAAATTTTGATCAGATCCGGGTCCAATTAGTTCGTATCCCAAAACCGGACCGGAACCAAAAATTGCCGGAACTTTCCGAAACCGGAACCGGAATTTCCGGTGAAACACTACCAGATATACATTTTAAATCAATAAAAACCAGTAATCCCACCTTATTCTCATTAATTTGTGAATAAATTAACTAAAATAGACCGAAAATGGCTTATTTTTATAACTTTTTTTCTTTAAAAATTTTTTTCAGTAAACCCCCGTACCCCGACCCGAACCCCGGCCATATTTTGCTCCCCCGACCCGAACCCCGCCCCGAAACATTTCGAAAACCCCGTACCCCGACATACCCGCCCCCGAGCGTTCGGGGTCAAACCCTAATTATAATTTCAGCAACTTTAATTTGCTTAAGATTGTATGCTGTTAAAAGATTGTATGCCCAAGCTGTTAAATTTTAGCAATATTTTTTAAAAACCCGATCCAGAAATAGATTCCAACACAGAACCTAATGATTCTGTCGGACCCCACCGAAGACCCTATTTTATACTATAAAAGTTCACAAAATAAACTTAATACAATTCTATCAATCCAAAACAAAGCTTTTCCAACTTTTCTACATAAACTACTATTCTCATAATGGGCATCTATGGAGTATGTTTTTTTTTGTTTTGTAGTATTCTAGTTTGAATTAATTTTTTGGTTTCCAGATTTCCAAAATTGTTGCTGGTGCTGGCGTCCTACTCAGTCTTGTGCCCGGTTTGAATATTGTTGGTTCCGTCTACTACGCGCTCGTCTTCTTGGTTCTTCGTAAACGAAATAAAGGGGCTCTCAATACTTGTATTTTCTACATGGTGATGAATTTGTTAAAATCTTAAATAAAATTTCCAAATATTAGGTGCCGATCTTTATTGCCTACACTCTCTTCATAAGCAGTATTATTGGCTTCCGTGTTGTCGAGCCGTACAAGAATCTCTGGAAGGATGATAATGATGCATTAGAAGTCCCAGAACATTCGACAGAAGACGTCGCGGAAAAGAATGCAACCACCAGGCCAAAACGAGAGTCGGAGGTAGTGCCGGGAACTTGTACACTTCAAGACGTTCCATTTGTGAAGAAGCTTCCTAAAAAATGGGATAAAGGTGCTGATTTTGTAAAATTGTTAATATCAATTTAATTATTTAATTTCTAGTAAAAGTGTTCAAAATTGCTTGGCTTGTAGGTGTTGGAACTGGAGGCTTCAATATTTTCTATTTGTTCGTTTCCAATATTGTGTTTTTCTTCGCATATAATTTTCTGAAGAAAACGCAATAATCCAATGGAAGTTGTCTATGGGTAAAGAAAATATGTAAGGAGATGAATATGTAAAGGATAACAAATTATATATTGTAATTAATTGTAACTATATTTAGTAATAATTGTTGATTGTGTATAATCTGTAGTAATTGAGTTTTGAATAAAATTAAATGTACCACTTATTTAATAAATATTCAAATAATTTTGAAATGAATGACTTGGGCTTTCTAACATTAAAAATCATACTTTTGATTAACAAATACCGTATTTTCTCGATTAATTCCCCTCCCTCGAAAAATTCCCCCTCTCGATTAATTCCCCATGCCAAGGCGGGGTTGAAAAAATAATTCCCCAGGGGAATTAATCGAGAAAATACGGTATTTAAAAATAAATTTTTTTAGTATATTTATGTAAAATTCTTGTAATAAATTAATTCCTATAATTTGTGTATGTACTTTTATTTTATAAAATTAACTTTTAAATAAGAAAATTCGCAAATTAAATAAAATTTAAATGTTAGTGAAAAACTTGAGTGACAATTTAGTTGAATTCTTCTTTTTATCACTCTCAATCAGTTTATTTTATATGAGAGATAGCGACGTTTATTTGCGTCAGAGATTTATGTTCTTTTGCTCTCTGAAAAATTAAGGTAATTTATTTACACATTCTCGTCTCTTCTTTAAAATTTTTTTTAAAAAATTTTATGACAAAGAACAGTAAAAATAAATAATTTTATTTTAATTTTATCAGAATTGTGAACACAAAATAAAACTTTTGTGAATGAAACTCTATTATTTATTCTTTTCTTATTTAAAAAAGTATTTTTATTAAATAAACATTCAAATTTAACATTTAATTTTTTTCTTTGTTAAAATTAATGTTCATTAATTAATTATCAATTAAAAATAAACAATAAATAATTTGTCGCAGAAAAGAAAAATACAAATTTCATTCCTTCCCCAAAGAATATTTTAAAATTAATAAATATTCTAATCTCTTAATCAATTTAATTTGACATTGAAAATTATTTTTATTAAGTAAAATATTATTATTTAATTGTTTAGAAAATTGTTTTTTTTCTGCAAAGAAATATTTTTTTAAATAATAAAAAAATCGTAATAAATTTCATTTCCAATTAATTTTTTATGCTACATATGTGAGCATTTTATATTTCCTTAAAGAAGTCTGTACTTTTATTTGTCCATGCTAATTAGAAAAAAAATAATATCTTTATATTTTCATTTAATTTTTCAAAATATTTTTAAAGATATTAAAATTATTTTATTATAATTAAATTAAAAAATATGCCTAATCAAAAGCAAATGGAAAATGGATTGTCTCCCCCATTAATTGAGAATGGTTATTGTAATAATTCATTAGAAAAAATCCAAAAACAAAAAAGAAAGAGAACACCGAGGGAATGGTTTAAAAAATATTTTTGGGAAGGTAAAAATAAATTAAATTAATTAAAAATAAATTACTAAAAAAAGGTCAAAAACTTCATGGAATTAGTGAAGAAGAAAAACAAATACCTCTTCCTTCCAATGCCACTTTCGAGCAAAAAATTCTTATAAAATACAAAAACTTTATTGCTTTACTTATTCCTTTTTGTGTTGCACAAGTTTTTTTTAAAATTATTTTTTAAATTTTAAAATTAAAAAAAGTTTATTTGGTGGAGTTCTGCAATTAAATACAACTTTTTTTCTCTTTATTCAACACGTAAATTTTTGGATAAATTAATTTAAAAAATTTTTATTTAAAGATTGGCAAATGCCATTAACAATGGTTGTTGGTTCTATTATTGCAGGAATGACTAGTGAAGGTGGTGGGGCTGTTGCCTTCCCTGTAATTTAATTTTGATTTTAATTAAATTTATTGTCCATTAAAAAGGTGATGATTTTCATTTTGCACACAAAACCTCACACAGCACGCGATTTTAGTATTATGATTCAAGCAGTCTGTTATAAAATTCAATAAATTATTTAAATTTATTTTTAAATAGATTGGAATGACAATGGCATTTTTTGTTATTATTTTTATGAGAATTCAAATTGAGTGGAGGGCTATTATATTTGGAACTATTGGGGCTATTCCTGGGGCTTTACTTGGATTTACTTTAGTTTGATATTTTAATTTTTTAATAAAATTTTGTTATATTTATTTCGAAAAACATTGGGATATTTTTAAATAAATTAAATGACTAGTAATTAATTACCTGTATAGTAATTATTCCATGATTAAAAAACGTTAAGTCTGTTACAATTCCTATAGAATTTCTTTTGTTTTCAAATAATTAAAAATAAATAGGTAATTATAATTTTATTAGATTGAACCTTTATTTAATCCCCAAACTGAAAAAATGCTTTTTGTGAGTATTTGGTCTTCATTTGCCATTTCTCTATGGATTTTAAATTGTGAAAAGAAACGAAAAACTTTTAATACAATTGAAAATTTTTGTTTTTGGAAGTGTATTATACTTATTTTGACTGGATTTATTGGAGGTATTTTAAATTTTTAGTGTCTCTATTTTTCTTTTTTATGTGTCTTTACATCGTTTGCTGGAAGCGGCGTTGATATTTGTACATTCTCGACTTTAACACTTCTTTTTAGTGTTTCTGAGAAAATAGCTACTCCAACTACTGTTGTTATTATGGGTAAAATTAAAATAAATATAAAATTTATTTTAAATTTTAATTTCAGCAATAAATTCTCAATTTTGTATTTATTGGCGTGCAATAATTATGAGCGAGCCAATTAGTCAATTAGCCTATAATTATATTAAAGTAAACTTTAATATAATAATTATTTCAAAAATATTTTTTAAAGGTTACAGTCCCGGTAACAAGTATTTGTGCCCCAATTGGAAGTTTTCTTGGTTCACATTTTCACAGACAGGCTTGACTTTAAATTTTATTAAGTTTCCAAAATATTATTTTTAGACACTTGCCTGGCTTGTATATATTCTGGAATTGGTACTATTAGTTAATAAATATTTAATTTAAAAAATTTATTAGATCTCTTATTTGGGCTTTCTATGTACTGGTCCTCCACTACAATTGGTGAGGAATTTTAGGGGTTTTTCTCTATTTATTTTCGTTAAATAATCCAAAATCTTATCAAAAATAAATAATTCAATTTAAAGGTTGTTCCAAGCATTTTGATAATCGCTCTTGGATTTGGCTTCTTTCGACTAATGAGCAATTGTGGCAAACGACTTTTAACTAATAAAAATTCAGAAAATAATCTTAAAGTTGAAAGTGAAAGACTAACAAAAATAACTAAAAAAGCATCAGAAGAAAGAGTAGATATTTGAAATATTTTGTAAAATTTGAAATTATTTTGTAAATTTTCTTCCATTAAAATGTCAAATTTCAATTAATTGAAATAAAATTATAAAAACTGTTAAAACTGTTAAAAAATAAAATATTTCTTCAGTATCCATAGAAAATTATTAATAGGGAAATTATATATGGGATAGGTAACGTTAGATGGGAGTAATTATGATTTTTTTAAATATCCATTGAACACCCCATATCAATCCAAAACCTCTTTTATCGACAGATCTACTGCCGGACCCGTAGCAAATATCTTAGAAAAACTTAAATACAATTCATTAACTCATATACAATTTTAAATTTCTTTATCTCCATTTTAAAAAATTGCGGATTGCGTAAATTGCGGGGATTTTTGCAATTGCGAGCAGGGGTGAGCGCATTGCGTTTTGCGTTTTGCGTTATTTGCGTTAAATTTTGGCCTTGCGTTGCGTTTTGCGTTTTTTTCGATAAAATTAACGCAAAAATACGCAAAAAATATACCCAATCTGAGGACAAAAATGGAAGAAATCTGGCTACTCGACTCTCCAAAATTCAAAAAATTTTCGCCTGCGGCGCAGAAAAAGAATGAATTTAGGCTGTTTAGCCTTCCAGAATTCTTAAAATTTTCGCCTGCGGCGCTAAAAATGATGAAGGGCCAGATGTGGTTAAGGTGGTCAGTTGACTTAAGATCAAGAGTGGTCATCTGGCATCCCTCCCTACCTCGTATATGCTCAAATCCCTGATACCCTTCTAATCTGAGGGCAAAAATTGAAAGAGATCTGTCTTCTGGCCTTATAAAATTCTCAAAATTTTCGCCTGCGGCGCTAAAAGTTGATTATTTAATTACCAAGTTTCCATTATGGAACGGCTCAGAAAAATAACGGTTCAGTATCTGGAGCTCAGATCTCCCATTATCCCTCCAAATCCCCTGATATTCCCGTATCAACCCATACTACTATATTCCCGTATCAACCCATACTACTCTCCCTAATCCCCCGCTACTTCGTTAAACCCTCTTGATCCCTCCAAATCCTCTGATATCCTTCATAATCCCTTGGATCCAGGATAACTCTCCAAATCATTACCTATCCAACTTACATGTGTCACAAAATCGGATAGGACAGGCTGACTTAAAGTAATACTTCAATTTTTAGCTGAAAAATGACTAATACTTGGTTAAAAAAATTTTTCCCCTATTTTTGCGCTCTTGCGTTTTGCGTTTTGCGTTATTTGCGTTAAATTTTGGCCTTGCGTTGCGTTTTGCGTTTTGCGTTTTTTGAGATTGTCTCTTGCGCTCATCCCTGATTGCGAGTTGCGGATTACAGTATGTCAACTGACGTTTTGTCCGGCCATTGACCGATTGTCCACCGACCGTTAGTCCACTGACGCATTGTCCGAACACGTTCACGTTTTGTTAAAATTTTAACATGAATGTATTGTTTTTTGATTTATGTAAATTGATTATTTTCTGTTTGGTTGTTTTTCTAATGATTTATAAATTATTTTTGTAATTTAGCACAGAATCCGGCATGCAGCCGGATTCTGAAAATTTTATTTTACAAAATTCTAATATTTTAATTCCTTCAAAGTTTTCAAAAGGACATGTTGACACTACTGAAGAGGACGAGAAAGTGCAATTTCTGATGCAAAATCATGTATGTTTATGTTTGTTTTTGGGTAATGCTTATTTACCTTATTTTCAAGCATGAGCTCTGTGACCTTAGTAAATGTATGGGGAAACGTATTAATGGTCTTTTCATCTGTCAGGTACTTTTCTAAATTGTCGGATTTGTTAATTTACTAATTTAATTTTTATGTTTTTTCAGTTCTCAAACATTCCTGGCTCCCAATATAGTCAATATCTCCGCCATAGACGTCGCCAAAATGCCTACAAGACAAAACCTTGTCGCAATTATTATGGTAATGTTTTCTGCAAGGCGGGTAATGAATGTTCCTTTTATCATGATGTTGGTGAAATGCGCACACTGCCACAAATGGAGTTGTCTGACGAGCTGAAGTGGCAACCAATTGACGTTAAGGACTTCTTCCCTCAGGTTAGATAATTTAAATGTATTCCAGAAATTCGATTTTCTTCTATTTTTAGCCGCGGTTGAAAATTTGTAGCTTTTTGCGAAAAAGTTTCCCTCCCAATTTTTTCTCATTTTTCTCTATTTCCTGAGAGGGGGGGGGGCATGCCTCCAACTCTAAGGTAGATTCCTTGGTTCTCTGGCCTGTAAAGTTTTATGAGATCCTAAGTAAAAACTAAAAATAAACTGAAAAATCCAAGGGAGCTGGGCGAAGACACTTTCCAAAATTCGGTAAAATATAACTTTGTTTGGGAATAAGAAATTTTATCCAAAATGCTTTTTTAATTTTTGTTCAGTTTCGCTATTATTCTAATTTTTTTAAATTTAATACATGTATTCCATTTCAGTTACTAAATGTGACCAATTCCCAATACAATCAACATTTACGAAATCTCCGACGTCAAAATGCCTACAAAACAAAACCTTGCCGCAATTATTATGGCAGAGGTTTCTGCAAGTCTGGCGTTGATTGCACCTTTTATCATGCTATTGGTGAAATGCGTGTACCGCCTCAGCATGAAATATCTGGAAAAGTGAAGGGATATTCAATTGACGTTAAAGACTTATTTCCACAGGTTTAATAATTTAATCTTTTTAATAATTTTGATGTTTGGAGCATTTTGTTAGGTTAACATAAATAGGTTGTCTGTATGAAAAAATTTATAATCCCCAAGCTAGCCAAAATTTAATTAGTTTTATTTTTACAAGAATTTTAAGATTTTTGGAGAATTTCACCGTGACAAAGAAAATCAAGCGCAATTTGGTTCCTCAGCTGCAATGCAATTAGAAATGGAGAGAATTGTTGACCGTCTCATCTCATCACCATTTCGTTCCTTTGAACTGTCCTCTTAAATTATTTAAAATTATTTTAAGAAATAGTATTTTAATTTTTCACTTTTTAAATGTCTTTAATTTTTATATAAAATTTTCTAATTAGGTAAATATTTGATCTTGTAAAATTAAAGACATTTTATGAACAAATTACTAATTTTATATGTATTTGACTTTAATTTTTATATTTTTCATTAACAGGGTGGCCCTTTTGCCCTATTTACAGGGCATTTGCCCTATTTTCGACCTTTCCGCCCTATTTTTTCCCTATTTTTACATTTGCCATATTTTTGCCCTATTTTTACCATTTTGTAAAATTTTTACAATTTTAGAATTTCATAATGAAATGGCAGAAAAAATAAGAAATCTGGCTTTACGGCCTTCCAAAATTTCTAAAATTTTCGCCTGCGGCGCAAAAAAGGAAGAAATCTGGCTTCTTGGCCTTACAAAATTCTCAAAATTTTTGCCTGCGGCGCTGAAAAAGGAAAAATCTGTGAGGACTTTGTGTGAAATTGAGGGATTGGAAGGGCTTGATTGGAATATAGGCGGAAAATACTCGAAGTTTCTACATTCGAATCCACTGAATCCTCACAAATCCCTGATAACTACAAGTTTCTAACCATTTATCCATCTTAGTTAACTTTCTTGATCCTAAATCCCCTAGATAACTCTGTTAACCCCAATTCCATTAATAATTGCTCAAAATCCGCCTATATCCCTCCATTTGCTCAATTTAGTTAAACCTAGTTAAAAAATTTAGAATAAAGCTTTTTAATTGAAATTTCAATTATTTTTAAGATTTTTAAATAATGCCCTATTTTTTGCCCTATTTTTGGCCGATTTCGCCCTATTTTTGCCCTATTTTTGAGTGGCTGCGCCCTATTTTGGTGTTTTGGAAAGGGCCACCCTGTTCATTAAAGTGTCTAATTTATTTACTTTTTCGACTCCATTTTTGTATTTATAAGACTTTAAAATAAATATTTAAACTTGTAATTACTTGACTTTTTAATAGAGGTTCGTTCATGACGACCTTTTTAAAAATATTTTTAAATTATTTGAAATACTAGATTCAAATATTTTTTGGATTTTGTAAGTTTAGGAAAAATTCTTTTTTGGCATATCGTTATTAATTTCGGTTTTGTTAAATTGTTTAAAAAAAAGAATATTCTTTATTTTTAATAATTTTTATTTTATTTTTTTAGATTAATTTAATATTTACTAACAAAAATTAATACTAACAACAACAATTTTTAATTTAATTTAATAATGAACGTCACTAACAAACTCCAAAAACGCCCCTTATCCCTCTCCAGCTTTCAACCAAATTATGAAGCTCATCAACCTGTAGAACTTACTCAATATATTAATCCCGAATCTGAGTAAATCTTTTTTCTTTAATTTTTTAAATTTATTTTTAATTTTTAGAAAGGCACATCACGTTCTTCTAGCCCATCATCAACGTGAATGGCGTAATAGCAGACGTTATATAGAAAGTTACAAAACGGTTATGTGCCAAAATTGGTTGGAGAGGGCCCAATGCAGTTTTGGAAAAAATTGCCGTTTTGCTCATGGCTTTGACGACTTAAGGACACCAACTTAAGGACACCAACTTTTTAAGACACCAACTTTTTACACCAACTTAAGGACACCAACTTTTTAAGGCTTCCTCTTCCCATCAACGAGAAGTACAAAACTCGTCTTTGTGAAAAATATACAAGTCGTGGAGTTTGCCCTTACGGTAGTCGCTGTTTATTTATTCATCCTGATAACATCCAAAATAATTTGCAAACAAATTACATCCAAAGCAATTACCTCAACACGACTGATTATTTTGCTCAATCAATGCCTACCTGTCTAATTAAGAAGAAAAACAATAATCTTTTTCCGCAGGTTTTCTTTTAGATAATTAGCTTATTAAGATTGTTTAAATTAAATTTTTGGTTATATTTTTGAAATGAGAAAAAATTCGCGAATTATCGCAATAGAAAAATTGGGGTTGGATTTCTAATTAAATAACAGCCAAAAACCGTTTAATTTAATTCTGGTCGATTTCTCAAAGCAGATCAATCAACAGAATCGGAAAAAATTTTCAACTATATTTTCGAATTTTTTAACCTCGTCGGTACATATTTTTCCCTTTTTCACCTTGTTATGCGATATCCTCAATGGAAGTTAACTTTCTTCCATCCTCCTCGAGAATTTCTTTGTTTTTCTAAAATTTCATTTGATGGATTTTCATTATTTTTATTTTAGATTCTTGAAGAACTTAATCGTGAAAAAGAAAACCAACAGCCACGAGCCTCGTCTGATGCAATGCAATTAGAAATGGAGCGCTATGTTGACTGTCTACTCGCATCGCCATTGTGCCTTTAGGTGATCCTTTTTAAGATTCTTAATTTATTCTGTGCCTGTTTTGATTTTTAAATGTCTTTAATTTTTGTATTTTTTAAAATAATTAAATTATTTTATGAAGGGATTCTTTTTGGAAAATATTTACAAAATTAAAGACATTTTTTAGACAAGCCTAATTCTAATTTATTTATTTTTCTCTGTTTATTTGTGACTTTTTAATTCGATTAATTTTAATTTCTTTAAATTTTTAATTTATTTTTTTCTAAGATCAGCTTAATTTATTTGTATTTATAAGACTATGAAATAAATATTTGAATACTAGCTTATATTATTTTTATAGATAGTTTATATCACGTTTTAATTTTTTTCAGTTTTTGCATGTTTTTTTTGAAGTTGGTATAACTTTGGAAGAGAAGCCATTTTAACGAAATTAGATAAAAGCAGGCTCGTAACCGGGTTTTTTTCGTGTTTCCCCCTGGTTATGGGCCTGAACAAAAGTATTTATAACCTTTGTCCCTTCCTTTGGAAGTTCATTCATGTATTAGTCACTCCTAGATAACTTACACCCTACCAATAATTTTTCAGAAACTTTATTCAAACAGTAACATCGTTTAGAGAAATTTCAAAGCTTTCGTACAATTTTGGTTTAGTTTGATAAATAAATGTTAGTAAATATATGCGTGTAAATACTTTTATTAAAGTGCAAAAACTACAAAAAAACAATTTAAAAATGCGATATAATACAAAAATAATTTTTGCAAATGCAAAATAATAAAACAATTTGCATCACGTCAGCCAATACTTGTCTTTTTAGTAACGCTTTTTTTAAAACATTTTTCTGTCTCCAACAAGATTTACATTTTTAACACTCATTAATATTACAATTTTTTTTATCATTTTCTCTTCATTGTCACCTGCCACTGTCAAAATATTTGTTTAGGATAATCCGAAGACTTGATATTACAAAATATTATCAAAAATTGCTACGTGGAAAATATGCTGCTTTTTGTTGAGCAAAAATTCTATAGCGCACAAAGTATCACTAGAAAATTATGTACGATTTGTGCTGAAAATTCGTCATTTTATTGGAAATCGTCATCGGTTTTTTAGAATTTATCGAATATCGTGAAATGTGGTAGTTACTGTATATCATCTACCTTTTTAGTATCTTATCCGCTATAAGGTTTCTATAGGAGGTTGAGACGTTAACTTGGATTTTGAATTGCTGAGATGAGTTTGAAGTAAAATATATTCAATTCAAAAAAATATATTTCGAACTTTATCGTTACTACTTGATATTACAAAATATTATCAGTAAATAATCTTAGTTTATATTAGTTCTTTAGTAAATCACTCAATATTCCAATGTGCGGAGCAAAATTTTCCTAAACCTAAGACATGGCCTACATTTATCCCAAGACCAAGCTCTAACTCCCTCCTACCCTAACTTCAAGACCATTTCTTTATTTCTATCTAAAACTTATTTTTCATTGTCCACATTATTTTTTCACTTTTACAAATTCATTTTTAAAAATAAAATAAAATACATCATAAATGTTACAAGGTGACACTTTAAAATATTCAAAATCATTCATTATATTTTAACTTTTTTATTAATAGCTTCATTGAGGACGATTAATTTTTAATGGGGGAAGAGGTATACAGCCAATGTTAACAAATATTTATTTTTTGTAAATATTTGAGGGAATCCCTAATAAAAATTTTTGGGGGAACACTTAATATGTTGTCTATAACACACAAATTTCATCATTTTATGCAATATTATTTATTATAAAAAATCCACGCAGGAATGGCAAAAAGTTTGGGGAAACCCCCAAAATTTTTCAACGATCTCTGACCGAGAATTATTTCTAAAAAATTTAATAAGTTATTTGCCCAACACAACCAATCACTCGAGTGATGGTTTAAATTTGCATTTATTTAAGAGAAAGTAAAGACTAACAATTGAGGCATTTTCCAGAATAAATTTAACTAGTAAATATAAATATATATATTCGAGAACAAACTTCATTTTATATATTCATTTTAGAAAATTATTTTGTAATATAAATATTTATTGAATTATTATTTTTGCTAAAATAAATCACAAATTATTTTTAATAATTTATTTTTGCTAAAATTTTTCTAAAAATTAAATTTCTTCAAGCATTTTTAAAATTTTTAAAAACTTTTATGATTTTTAATAAAAGAATACCTTTACCTATTTAAAAGTATTTTCTTTTTCTGTTAAATACACTTTTAACAATTATATTAGAAATTACTTACAATTAATATTATTAATTATTAAACTTTTACTATTGAATTATTTAGCAAAAATCTAAATTTTACTAAATTATTTTTTATATAAATCTTGAAAGGTTTTTCAATTTTAATTTTAATAAATTTATTAATTCAATTTCCTGTTTGCTTTTGGCAATTTTTAATTACAGAATATGTCTAATATTTGCATATTTTGGATGTTTATTTTCTTCTTATCTTCTCCACTTTCATTATTATTTAATTCATGTGTTTTTCATTTTCCTTAACCATTTCCTCATAAAAGTTTAAGAAAAACAAAATTTAATTGGTCCTAAGGAGATTGAATAATCAAATAACATCTTAATCTTCTGACAATTAATGTTAGTCGTCATTCAACTCACCTCGATGAGTTCTTTCAAATTCTTATTAAAATTTCCTAAAACGAAGTATGATGGCGTTAAGCAATAATTTATGGGGATAACTCCTTTTGTATAATGAAAAGTACTTTTATGTATTATTTTAAGAAATTTAGTATTTAAATTTTTACAGTAACCCTTATTATTTAGCTAAATTTAAACATTTTTTTATTCATTGATCATTATGTCTAGCTGTTATTTTGGTGTAAAGGTCAAATATGCAGTACATTAATTCCTCATTCTTCGTGCCTTCATTTAATATTTTTCTCCAATCTATATTTAGTATATGTACATTAATTTGTAGTAGTTTATTAATATTGAATATATTTACATGTACTTCTAGTATTTTTTCTACACAAGTACGCTTAAATAAATGAGTTGTTTAATTAAAATATTAATTTTTTTCATTTTATTTTGCAAAAATTTCAACTTTTCATTTTTTTAAATACATACCGTATTTATTCTAATAGAATGGCCGCCACTCTATTTTTCGATACCCCCAAAAGGGGGCCATTCAATTGGAGGGGCCATTCTAATGGAGGTGGCCATTCTATTTTTCATAGGTTAGAATCTGAGATTGGATGAAACCTCTGCGACCTTCTCGGAATTTTTAAAAAGATTAAAGAGTACTAAAACACTGAACTACCAACAATTCAAAAATTTTCGTATGGCTTCAAGGGATCGTGAAATTTCCAGAATTTTATCCCAAATCTCACTCAATCCATCATTATTCCTCAAAATCCTATGTGTCCCTGATAGTCCCCTGATAAAATGAATGTATCCAACTAAGGTTGTCGGATAGTTGGAAATCTTCGGATATCCGGATCCGACAACCTTATATCCAACTTCCTTATGAGGCCCAAATTCATAAATATCTATTAATTCTCCTAATCCCTTGCGTCTTCATTAAATCGTTGTAATTTCTTGATATCCTTCCTAATCCTCTCAAATCCCCTAATATCCCTCTTAATCTCCCTTTTATGACTTCAGATTTGCTCGAAAATATTATGATTATCTTTACTAAAGAGTAATATTTAATACATAATAAGAAAATAAAAAAATGTACTAGGTATATGCTTTGTAGTTAAAAGGGCCATTCTATTGGAGGGGCCATTCTAATGGAGGTGGCCATTCTATTTTTCATTACCCCCAAAAAGGGGCCATTCTATTGGAGGGGCCATTCTAATGGAGGGGCCATTCTATTAGAATAAATACGGTATATTAAGTTTGACTCGTTAAGAAAATATTTACATATTAACTTTTTATATTTTTATTAAAGTCTTTATCTTGGTCAAATTTTAGTCAAAATTTTTAGCTTTAAAATTATATTTAATTTAGTATTTCAAAATTAAATTAAGCAATTAAATAAATTTGTATCTTTTTATTTCTTTGCTTCGAAAAGTGTTCGAAACATTTTAAAATTTTTTGTAAAATTCCCCCTCTCTTTAATTGAAAAACAAATAGATTTAAGGTAATTCTTTATTTGTTTTTTATTAAATCTTATTAAAATAAAAACAAATAAAGCTATTAAACAGAAAATTAATTAAAGAACAATGTTTATTTGAAGAAAACTTAATTTTTTTGTAAAACTGTTTTAATCTTTAATTTATTTATTTTCACATCATTAATATTCTGAGAATAAAAATATTTAATAAATTAAAAGTATTCTTTATTGTAATAAGAAAAAGTAGCAACAAATGACTAAAAATATTAACTCGATCCCCAGATATCTTTCCATTTTAAAAATCAATATTTATTATTAAAAATATCTAAAAAATATTTATTTTTTTTTAATAAAAGTACAATTTTTCTTTGTATTCCTCTAGATACTCAAAAATAAGAATCCAAAATTTTTTTAATTTTTTAAATAATATTGTGCCTCTCTCCAAACCGTTTTTCCAAAATTTATGTTAAAATCATTGTCAGTTACCTACAACATTTTTTTTTATCTTTTTTTTTCTACCAGAATTATTTAAATAAAACAAATTTATAATTTAAATTTTTCAGAGACATTTAAAAATGTCCATTCACAGCTCTACAAATTCACCAATTTCCCCATCTATTAACGACAAAAATGACAACGACAATATTGTTCCCCCAGCTTCTGAATTTTCGCCTTCTCCTACAAAGATGGCCCATTACACCTTCCCTTCCTCACCAGATTGTGCTCTAGATTTATTTCAACAGCAAAAACCTTTAGCTAAACAAAAACAAACAATTATGGAAATTATTTTCCCAATTCGTTTTGTTATTTTGGCATTATCTCTTGGATGTCTTTCATTAATTGTTGCTAATTCTTTGGCTCTCAACTTTACTGTTATTTGTATGCACAAAGAATTGCCGTCG